GTGCAGATCTTCATTCTTTCCATTTTAGGATGATGTGAAACATCTGGAATCCTCTTAGCTAGTACAAGAGAAAGACCAGCCTATTCCTTCTTTGACAGAGTGCTGGCTTTCGTGGCTGGCAGCTCTGTTCTTTTCAGAGAGAAGCGCGTGGGGTGGTGGTTTTGTGTCATCGCAAACTATCTAGCAATACCTTCAACAAAGGCGTCTGAGTAGCTTAATTCAGTACTGGATTCAGTTTATTTCTTCACGCTTCTAATTTAGGATATAGCAAATATTTCTGTCTTGGCAAAAGATAAAGGTACTATTAAAGCCCTCGGGAGAGGGAGAAGCTGGAGATTTGGGAACTGCCTGTATTGAACAGGTCAGGGTTGCGGAGAATCCAGAGGTAGTTGGGAATGTTAGCAATGTCTCCTCCTGGACTAATAGACTCTGTTGAAATGATGTACCTAAGGTAACCAGTAATTTTGCTCCAGAAGAGATACTCCATATCACTGCCTAGGGGGCTGGCTCGGGTTTAGGGGCTAGGTATATGATCAGGGACAGCTAAAACTTCCACTCAGTTTACTGCTGATACATACAGATTGATCTCCCAAAGTCTGGCACTTTTGAGATAATGAGGCAGTTAGCACATTGTAGAACTGTCTTCTAGCCTGGCTGCAGGATCAGAGCTGGTTTCCTATTCGTGTGCGTTCCTCTGGGCATGTCTTTGCAAATGGCAGTGCTGGAAACTCTGTATGAAGTTGAAGTGGCTGAATCTCATTTCTATTACAGAGAATAAATTTCAGGGCAAATCTTAAGGTTTTGGCATCTGTACGGGCCTTGTTAAAAGTGTTCAGCTTCAGTGGAAGCTTGCACAATCTTCATTTCACCCTCATTTCTATGCAGGAGCCAATATTGCAACTGGTGAAGAGGTGGCCATCAAACTAGAATGTGTCAAAACCAAGCATCCTCAGCTCCACATCGAAAGCAAGTTCTACAAGATGATGCAGGGAGGAGGTGAGATGGGGAGGAAAGGATGGGGCCGGGGGAGTGGTTGAAGGAGGAAATTGTTCTGGAGGGCCTTGGAAAGGAAATGATTTGGTGTTACAGATGATCTTCTCAGCAGGGGATGCAGCAGTTTTCCTCTGTTCCGTGGGCTTAATCTTTCTCTTTCCCCAGTGGGTATCCCCTCCATTAAATGGTGTGGAGCAGAGGGGGACTATAATGTGATGGTGATGGAGCTCTTGGGGCCCAGCCTGGAAGATCTCTTCAACTTCTGTTCCCGCAAATTTAGTCTCAAGACAGTTCTGCTCCTGGCAGACCAGATGGTGAGTTTCCTCTGAAGCATTTGTGCCTACTCCCCTTTTCCTTTTTTTTTTCTTTCCCCCCTCCCCTCTTCTTCCCCCTCCTCCCATCCTCACTGCTCAAGAACTGCTGTATCTCAGACTTTTTTTTCATTTAACAGCAAGTGGCTGCCAGGTTTCTGTTTCTTGATGAAGCTGGAGGCCTGGAACCTAGGCATTGCCGGTTTTTCCACATCTCCATCCCTCCTTCCTTGCCCTGCTGCTCACCCTGTGTTAGTTTTACAGGCATAGATGCTTTTGCCTGCATGATGAACAATTGGCATTGCTACTTATCTTGACTCAACTGCCCATGCCCTGGGTTTAAGATCCTTAGTGGTTCTGGACCTTCTCCTTTCCCATCCTGGATAAGTTTGAAAGTTGACTGGTGTCGATACTGAAGCTCAGAGTTTTAGTCCATACAAATTTGCTTCCCATGCTTCATTGTGCTAACGGTGACCTCCCCAGATCGAGAACTGGGCTGGTGTGCAGGGTTAAATTCCATCTCCATCTCCAGATCCTTCTGCCTTCAGAGGGTGTCTTTTCCTTGACTGTCGTGTCTGATATTCTCTGCAAAGTGTCCCTTTCCCTGCTGTGACAGGCCAGTGTCCTAGAGAGAGTACTGTTTTTAACAGATGTAGTTATGATAAGTTTCCTTCTCACTTCTCTCACTATTTATTTATTCTCCCCCCGTCCAGATCAGCCGTATTGAGTACATTCATTCCAAGAACTTCATCCACCGGGATGTGAAGCCAGACAACTTCCTTATGGGCCTCGGCAAAAAAGGCAACCTAGTATACATCATTGATTTTGGTTTGGCCAAGAAGTACCGAGATGCCCGGACCCACCAGCACATTCCTTACCGGGAAAACAAGAATCTTACTGGCACAGCCCGTTACGCCTCTATCAACACCCACCTGGGAATTGGTGAGTCTGCTGTTGCCCCTTGCTGGGGCTTTCCAGGGGAGATAGTGTGTCCCCAGAAGGAGGGAGTTGGGTTCTGTGCCTGGCTCTGCTGCTGACCTATGTTGAGATGCTGGGCAAATAACTTAATGTTACACCTGTGTTACCTCTCCTGCCTTTTGTGGCACTCTCAGCTCCTGAAGGCAGAAATTGTCTACCGGTATGTGTTTGTGCACCGCTTTGTGCAGTGGGGCCCTTGATGTTTCAGCATCAAGGCTGTGACCTCCCTGACTTTACTGCTACTAACTCTTCCTTGCACAATTTTTGCAGGCTCATTAGATACATAAAGGAGACATGGGCAGGCACTGAGCCTTTAGAGATATGTGCAATGGAAACCTCTCTTGTTGACTCGTGAATGCCTTCATCAGTGATTATTCTGTAGCTGTCAAAGCTCAAGGATACAGTCCCACTGCAATGTGGTCATACTCCTGTAATCCACCACTGAAGATTGGGACAGTCTTGTGTGGAAATGTACAAAAAGCTGAAATGAGGGGAGGCTTCCTGCTGCCTGGGCATCCAGGTTTTATGATTGAGGATTGGCTGTCATGTGCCTTCAAAATACACGCGTGTCTGAACCACACTGCCCTGTTCACTGTGAGAGAGACTGAGGCAGCTTTAGGGAGGTAGGACTCTGCTCTTAGTGTCTGTGGTTAGTACTGTGGGGATAAAACTAGGGTGGGAAAGAGCGCCAAGAGTTCAGCCAGGTCTTACACTGGTGATGAGCATCATCCCAGGTTTTGTAAAAAACTTGTGCAGGTTAGTACCTACCAGACTTAAACCTTCTGAAGTCACCTGTCCTGGGAATGAGCCCCTGATGCACACCAGCTGGTTGCTTTGAGGAACAGAGGTGAAAACCTCTTGCAATTTTCTGTTTCTTGACCAGATACTTCTCTGCGGTGTATGACCTTTTTCACCTGCTTGAGCTAAACTTTGTCCGCAGTGCAAGAGTTTCTTAGTTACCATAGGGTCCGTTCTGAGCAGGCTGGCTTGGTTCTGATGCTGATTGGCAAATCCAAAGAGCAGAAACACTGAAGCTGCCCTGTCCGCAGACCCAGGAAAGTAGCTCCTGTGTTCACAGCTCAGTTTGTATCTCAGGAAGACCTTATTCTGAAATGTATAAGCTGGGAATTTGAAAATCAGAGCAAGGAACCCAAACCTTTTAAACTAACAGCTTCCACAGGATTTCATGTCCTCATTCTTCCTAGGGAAAGCATCCCGTTCTCCCCTCTTGTAGATGGTTTCTCAGAAATCTGGAATCAAGACTTGACCTGCAGAAAATAAAGCAGTTCCCCACTGTCTTCCTTACTTAATACTGTAGAACTGTAGACTGAAAATGCTTTATTTATTTTGAAATGGGGAGTGTTGTGTGTTGAGAGCGGGCTGTGATCTCCTGACCTCTTGCACGTAGTAAAAATAGTTCTCGTAGAGCTTTCCAAGTTAAGTCTTCTGTATTTTGGCTTGACCTGCTTATATATAACTGACTCTCCATTGGATTCTCAGTCAAGATTTCCACGGCCATGGTAACTGCCACAAGGAGACATGCACAAAATAATTCTCACTACTATGTCTGTCGGTTCTTTTGTGTGTGCCTGCTCTGTCTGAACAGATCACGAGAGGCTAAATGTCTGGTTGTGTTGGTTGTGGGTTTTTTGGTTGTTTTTTTTTTTAAGGCCTTCATTATTCATTCCGCCCTAACTTAGCCCTTTGCTACTGGTGCTTGGCTTATGTATCAGGATGAACAAACAATGTCTGAACACTAATCCGAGGGCAAATCGCATATGCCATCGGTCTGAGCACAGCCGTCGCTCTCTTCATGCCCTTCGATTTGGGAGAGTCTGGGTGTGAGTTGCTCTGCACAACAGGTCTCGGGTGTATTATCTCCACGTTGCAGATAGTTCCCCTGAATGGCATAAAGGTTACATGACTTGCCTGGAGGAAAGGGGATGGGGGTGTCAGGGTTGCAGCTGCAGTTCCTGTTTCTCAAGACCTTGCCACAGGGCGTATGACAGACATGTTTTCGAGCTAGCGGCATTGCCATGGGAACCATCACTCTGAATTTTTTTACTTTTCAGAGACTAAATTCTCTGTCTTAATGTTACATTAATGTGGTTTAGGGAGAGGGAAGGAACCAGGTGCTGGGGTATTTGTGTGACAGGAATAGCAAATGAATAAATGCCTTTATTTGAATGTGCAAGCTAAGGGTTGGGCATTCCGATGTCTGGAGGAAACACATTCTTTTCCCAGTGACCAGGGGAAAAAGTAGGGGGCGAGATCGAGGAGGGTTTCCACAGCTGGAGACTTGCTGTTGGGGGAGTCATTGGACTATGCAGGCTTTGGTTCATGCATTCCAGTCAGTTTTCACATGCTCTGGAGATGAGAGTCCCTTGCACCCTCTGGAGCTTGTGAAGTCTGAAATAGATGCCCAGGGGTGCCCAGGAGACAGTCTTAGAAGAAGCCTGGTGGGCTCTGTCTGGATAACAGGAGGCTGGACATGGGGGGCAGTTCCTCCCCAAGCGCATGTCCTAGATGGGATTGGCGTAGTCTGTGCAGAGCATAAAGTTCTTCTGCTCGTCTTGCCCTTGGTCACCCATTCCAGATTTTTGTGGTTTTAAAGGCTGTTGCCATGCAGTGGGGAGAGAAAGGGGAAGCGTAGTCCCAACATGTGCAAGTGCAAAATCCGATCTGAGTATGTAGTCAGGAAAACGTTTGTTTAAGACTGCTTGCTGGTGGGCTGGCTCCAGTGAGGACAGCTGATTTCTAGGGAGTCCTGTATGGGAACAGCGTTGCTTTGGGTAGGATCAGGGTAGGGGGAAGCGCTGTCCTGGGGGACGAGGAGGTGCTTTAGGCTGCAAAGAAACAAGTTTTTGTCATGAACGTCACGTCCAAGGCAACCAGTCCTCTGTCTCCTGTCTTTGCCCAAGCATGTCTTCCCCAGGTAACTCACCATCCTGCTACTCACCCCTGACTCAAGTCCTTCTGAGTGAGCACCCTGCTTTGGGAAGGCACTGAGGGTGTGGGCTGGCTGGGAACCTCCCTGGGAGTGGAAGGGAATTGGCAGGAGGTTGCTTGCGGAGTGGGTTGAGTTTGAGAGGTCATGCTGGGTTGTGTGGGAAGACGACCTTGTGTTTTCTATTGGAAAGGGGATTGTGGCTGAGGGAGGAAAGGATGAGTGTCTTATAAGAGTAGCAGTCCCCCATGTATTGTGGGAGAGCTGAGAAGCTGAAATAAAATTGAGAGAGAAAGTGTGATGTGCTGTCACAGGTCATGACTGTAATCCTGCTTCTAGACTGACTTGCTCTGGGCACACATTTGTGTCACTTGTGTTTCTCTTTCTCTTTTCAAACTGTAAAGTGAGATTTTTTTTTTTTCCCCTTGATTTTTTTTTTTTTTTGCCTGTGTCACAGGAATGCTGCAAGAGTTAGTCAATGGTTGTCAAGCTTCTAAAATTAGGAAGTAGTAATATTAAGTAATGTTTCTTTGGTGTGTAGAGATGAACTTTTTTTTTTTCCTAACTAATTAATTACTCTGCTTTTGCTGTCTCATGTTACCTAGTGTCCTGAGAATGTTGGTATGAGGCCAGGGGGGAAAGGGGAGAAAAAAAAAAAAAAGAAAATTTGGTGATGTGTAATAGTAACTGAAGATGAAACAAAGAAATGGGGTGTAGGAACTGTTACTCTTCACTGTCATCCAAGGTTTAATTCAGGATCTTGTAGTTAGGGTTACAGCTGAAAGACAGCTACAATGTTTTGAGGTAGCGTGACAACTGTGACCCATCATGTTGGTGCTTCAGTCTCATCATAGATTTGAATCTCACTGAAATTAAGTGGGCTACAATGACCAAATGCACCTGAGATATTGGACATCAGAGATGCAATGCAATCAGACGTTTATCATTCAGCATTTTAATAATTAGGTGCTGTGCTTGCAGTTGTTTTTCCTTGATCATGTTGCTGTGTTAAGGCACAGCTAAGGTGTGTTTGCATGCATGTAATGGATACTAGTCATCTCCTCAGTTTGGTTTTGTAACTGCTCTCACTGCCTCCAGTAAGGGCTTGTAGCGTGCCTCACTGACTTCAGGCTCCCTAACCTCAAGTCTCTTAATCCTGGCCTTCCCTAAATCACTAGGACTGTGCCTAGGCATACGTTCGCAGAACGTCCCCTGTTCTGGATGGAGTTGGTGGCTGTGCTCAAAGCTGCTGTGCTCCACAGAAGTGGAGGTGTGTGATCCAGCCTGCTCTAAGCTGTGTGGAGTTCAAGCAAGTTTTTGGAGGCAAGATCCCGATCTACTCCTGAAACGCTGACTTGCTTGTTCAGTAGGTTCCTCTGGTTTCTGCCTTGCCTTTCCCTACTTCTGAGGGGCACCACCGTGCTCTAGAGAGGGAACCTGCAGTTGCAGGCTTTAAAGCTACAGCGTGGATAAGTCAAGGGCTGGCAAATTGCAGGATTGAGGTTACTCTCATCTCCTGCGCTTTCAGGACCTGGATGTGCATTCTGACACCATTTCCACAGGCCTCTTGTTTCAGTATGTAGGTCATTATCAAATATTGTTTCGTTTTATTTAATTGATATGCATGGTGTGTAATCATGGCCCTCTGAGAGTACACGTATCCCAACCTTAGGCCAAATGCAAAACCGTGGATTTCTTTTCCCTGCTCTCTGCATCTAAGCATCTCCCAGCCAGTCATATGTAGTTAACTTTGGCAGCAGCCTGATAAAATTGGGAAGTATTTAGGCCCTTGAAAGTGGCCAACTTGAGGCAGTAAGTTAGTGAGGTCCAAAAATGCTGTTTTTTCCACATGCTCAAACTAAGATACTTTGGGGATCTGCAGGACTGCCTTCTCCTCTGCTCCAGTCTTGAAACATTGTGGTTTTGTGGCATTTCCTGTGCTTTGACCCAAAGGCTGTCTCCTCTCAGTTGTGAAGTGATGAGACCCTCTTTTTCTTCTGCAACCACAGTGCTTTCCACCCCCCTAAATATTTTTAATTTGCTGAGCTCTGTAGTTCTCAAAAACACTAGGAGGTTATGAGGGAGATGCAGGAGGAAGAAAGGCCCATGGTGACCCACATCTTGTGTTGGTTCATCTGGACATCTAGATCTGTGATCTGCTACAGCTACTTCTCTGTCAGCGTTCAGTTCAGCAAGCAGAGTAAAGGGTAGCTGTAATAATCTACTGGCCTTTGAATGGGGCAGGTGGTAGCATGTAACTGATGCTGAGAATTAACCCACAGACCAATAAATGATCTGCAGCATCTTCCAGGACATGGCACTGAATCCAGCAAAATGTGCTGTAGTAGTAAATTAATCTAATAGATGAATCTATCTAGTCTTTCCTCTACCCTTGTGCTCTCCCTCAAGCCATATTTTGCCTTTCTGTTACGCATGTAAGTTGTTGTCCTCCTCAAGATGTAAAATACTTTGATTTTACATCTTTATTTTACATCTTAGTGTTTATTTTACTGTATTTGGGAGGGGAACAATGGCAAGAACTTCGTGACAAAATTTGTGAGTGCATTAGTAAGCATGTTGGAAGAGCTGGGAGGAGTTTCACAAGTTGACCATTCAACATTTTCAGTTTCTGAGATTCTGCGTCAATTCCATCTTGAACTAACTGGAAACTTAAAATGGCTTGGCCAATCCAGAGAAAAAGTTCATAGAATCATAGAATTTCTAGGTTGGAAAAGACCTTAGAGATCATCCAGTCCAACCATTCAATGCAGAATGTTTTTGTTTGGGAAACATTTTTTTGTTGTTGTTCTGTAAATAAGCATCTAAAAGCAGGCCCTTACAGTGACATAGAAAGGGCAACTCTTGCTCTGAGTAGAGTTGGTGGTGATGCCAGTTACACAGTCATTACCCATTTGGAGGGGAACATTTTGTTCAAAGTATACCTCTGTATTCGTACTTCTTTCCTCCACAGCTTGAAAAATACCACCAATCCAGAAAGATCTTTGCACAGTATTACATGTTAGGCTTCTCTAAACTATCAACAAAGTTGTTTGCCACAAGAAGGGGTCCCTAGTTCCTCACTTCTGCCCTGTCTAAAGAGTATCAGCAGGTTACTTATATGGTGTGTTTGAAAGGGTTGTGTTGGTCTTGCTTCTGTTAGCTTTGTCTTTCTGTCATGACTAATCCCCAGGGTGAAGTATCATTCTGGGTGGAGAAGTGTAGGTGCCCTTCCTCTGGGACTGGGAAGAGTGAAGTAGGCAGTCTCACTGCAGCATTTCTTGGGCTGTTGAGTTCTTGTGTGAATTCAGGCTTGTCCAGCTGAGGAGGTAGTCAGAGTAATTATTCATTTGTGAAGTGGGTTGGGCTGTATGGGGAGAAGAGCACTTTAACTCTTGCAGTATGAACATCCCCACAGGAATTTGTACTGGAATGTCTTCTACAAGTTTGTTTACGCATAGAAATCTGCCAAAGAAGAGAGAGGAGTCCTTTCTTTTCTCTGTGTTCACCTCCAAAGCTGTGTGATTGCCCGAGCAGTTTTGATTGATGCTCACTCCTTGCCCCTTTAACTTTTCCTCACAGAACAAAGTCGACGTGATGACCTGGAGAGCCTCGGCTACGTGCTCATGTATTTCAACCTGGGCTCGCTGCCCTGGCAGGGCCTCAAGGCTGCCACCAAGCGCCAAAAGTATGAGAGGATCAGCGAGAAAAAGATGTCAACGCCCATTGAGGTGCTCTGCAAAGGGTACCCTTGTAAGTGCTCTGATCTTGATGGCTGTCTTGTCTGATGTATGGCTTGCTCTCCTGCTGAAACCCCATGAAGTCTTGAGTCCTGAAGGGCAATGCCTAGTGTCCCCAGACCAGAATGTGCCGCTCACACCAGTGATGAGAACGATAAGAGACCAATGGTGATACAGTTCTGGTTTAGCAGTGGGAAACATGCTTTTGTGGAGAGTTGAGCCTTGTGTTAGTATGGGCATGAGAGTGCTGAGACGGATCTTTAGGACCTCAGAAACAGTCTGGAATGGTGGTTGGCAGTGAGGTGAGAAGGTGTGCTGATGATCGTGAGTTTTTACTGCGTAATGAGGATGAGGACCAACTGTGATGAATTCCAGAAATAACCGGGCAATGAAGTGGCAGATGCAGTTCTTAGTAGGTAAATACGGAGTCATGTACGTGAGAGGAAAGAGAAGGCTCACTCCTCGTGTCATATGCAGAGTAGTAGGCTCTGAGCTGAGCAGCGCCGCCCATGAATGAGCTGTTGCAGTTACAATAGATGGTTCTGTGAAAACATCAGTTTTGCGCTTAGTGGCTACTGAGGAAAGCGGATCGGGTGTTAGGAATTACTAGGAAAGAAAAGAAACCTAAATGGTCTGTATAAACCCATGGCTCACTCGCACCCTGCGTGCACCGTGCAGCTTTGGTCCATCCCACTATTTCAGAACAGACATGGTAGAACTGAAAAAAAGGTTCAGGAAAGGGCCAAAAGGGTGATCAGAAGTGAGGTGGTTTCTATACAAGCAATGAGTTTGCTGGAACCTGGAAAAGAGGTGATTAGAGAGATGACAGGAGTCTACACTCTTATTATGCCTCCAGAAGTTTGGATGGCAGCTGATTATTTTGCAGTCCCAGTTCTTGTATTGGAAGAGAAACAAAGCTGGTTCCTGCTAGCTTCAAAACAACATGATGTGGTTCTTCAGGCAGCCAGTAGTAGATCTGTGGAACTCCTTCCCAGAAGGTGTTGTGGATACTTAAAGCTTAACAGGAGTTCAAGGAGAGATTGGACAACTACGAGGAAGAGCGATCTGCTGAGGGTTACTAAACAATTAGAAACCACATCCAGATCAGGAAGTTCTCTGAGCTGAAAGTAGCAGGAAACTGGGCTAATGTCAGTGAAGGTGTCAGACACGCTTGCCCCGCACTTTCTCCTCTGTAGCTGTCTGGCCACTGCTTAAGACAGGCTACTGAGCTAGGAGGACCTCTGATCTGAGCTCTGCTTCCCAAAGCTCACCTCCACCTATTCTTTAGGCCTGCGCTTTTACTCTCCTTTAGCAGGCTCTGTGACTTGCTTTCTCTTGCTTGGAGAAGCAGCCAGAAAAAAGAGGTATGTGAGCATTTCCTCTGGTAAAAATAGGGATAGGGTCTCGGTAGCCAAAGCACCGCAACCAGCAGGCTCTGTTTTCGTTACACAGCTCTGTTTGTGCCATCGTGGTCCAGCACACTGCTGCTCAAAGGCTGTGGTGGCTTCATGGTGGGACCAGGAGGGGTTGAATGGTGTTCAACAACTTGTTCTCTGCTCCTTCCAGCTGAGTTCTCGACATACCTCAACTTCTGCCGCTCGCTGAGGTTTGACGACAAACCTGACTACTCATACCTGCGGCAGCAGGCAGCTCTTCCGCAACCTCTTCCACCGCCAAGGCTTCTCCTACGACTACGTCTTTGACTGGAACATGCTTAAATTTGTGAGTGTGTGTGAGGAAAAAAGGGCTGGAGAGCCAGGGGTTGATTTGTATCATGGAGATGAGGGAGAAAAGTTTGAAACTGCCGGTGACTTATAATTACTTCTGGTGATCAATTTGAGGAAGGGGAGCTCTTCCGCAACCTCTTCCACCGCCAAGGCTTCTCCTACGACTACGTCTTTGACTGGAACATGCTTAAATTTGTGAGTGTGTGTGAGGAAAAAAGGGCTGGAGAGCCAGGGGTTGATTTGTATCATGGAGATGAGGGAGAAAAGTTTGAAACTGCCGGTGACTTATAATTACTTCTGGTGATCAATTTGAGGAAGGGGACCAGGTAGAGTGAAAAGAGACAGAGTTGTCTGGTGGTGCCACCTGAGGGGGTATGATCACTTTTGTATTAGTGAGTCTGTTGTGTGGAGGATGTGTGTCAATAGATCTATAGCTATAGGTAGGTAGAGATAATTTTTCAGGAGAGAACTGTATTCGGAGGTGGGACACAGTCGTGAATTGCAGTAACAGCTGCAGTACTATATGCTTTGTTCCCTGTTTCCTCATGGAAGAGAATGAGGCCTTCTCTGAGTGTAGTGGGAAATGGTGGGAGGAGAATGTGTTTTTGGGGAGGGAGCTCTGCTTTCTTGGTGTGATGGAGCACTGTGTGTTTTCTATCCGGGCTGCTGCTGTCTTTCCTGCCTAACGGTGTGGGGGTTTCTGTCCTCCTCAGGGAGCAGCCCGGAACCCCGAGGATATGGATCGGGAGCGGCGAGAACACGAGCGAGAAGAGAGGATGGGGCAACTCCGAGGGTCAGCCACACGAGCACTGCCCCCCGGCCCACCTGCTGGAGCCACTGCCAACCGTCTTCGCAATGTCACTGAGCCCATGGCCTCCACCCCCACCTCCCGAATCCAACAGTCTGGTGAGTGGGGTGGGAAAGCTGGGGGAGGATGCCACCCCTGTTACTGGCTGGAAACTGAAATGATTGACTGATGTTCTTGTCTCGTGTTTCTCTGCCCCAACAGGAAACACGTCCCCCAGAGCAATCTCAAGAGTGGACAGGGAGCGGAAGGTCAGCATGAGGTTACACCGAGGAGCTCCTGCCAACGTCTCCTCATCCGACCTCACAGGGCGGCAAGAAGTGTCACGGATTTCAGCATCACAGGTGAGTCCCTGCTGCAATGTTCATGGCCTCAGCCTGGATGTCCTGGAAAGACTAAGGGCCCCAAAGCATTTTTTACCTAATCTGCTGGAGCTGATATGCACCTGAAGCTTCTACAGGGTGGTGAGGGGAGTGGTACCAGGTTATGCCTTGGCTTTTCAGTTACGTGTCATCTGGAGGCCACGCTCAGTACTGTCGTCTTAGCTCTGCTTTGCTTGGAGTAAGCCTTCATCTGGTCGTCTTCCAGACTGTAATGGTTTGGAGAAGTGGAATAGTGAACCCTTGGGAGAGAGGATGTCCTGAGGACACGCAGCCTCTCTATTTTGGTGTTCTTCATGACTTTTTTCTTCCTCTCCATCCCTTACCTATTCTTCCTCTTCTTTTGTAGACAAGTGTGCCATTTGATCACCTTGGGAAGTGAGGAGCAATTGCCACTGGACCAGTGTTTGCTTAGGTGAGCCTGTCCTGGTGCCTGCAGTCCCCCAGGCAGGAATTGCCGGCATTAGAGATTAAGTTAAGGCTTTGATGTTGCTGTGGGAGATCAGTACGTTTCCTTTCCCTTCGCCTTACTTTGAGATGGTTTTTGGCTTTAGAGGGAAGAGCAAAGTTGGCTGCCAAAGCCTTGGGGGGATGGATTATTCGAAGTGTGAAGGTAGCTTCCATTTCTCCAGGAGGGTAGGGAAGGTGGAGAAGGTGCTGGGCCCGGGGAGCCGTTTCATTAGTTCCTACCAAATGATTTTCTGGAAGCATGATAGTGTTGGGGAGGTGAGTACTGAGCACAATCAAGTGTGCGAGACTTTGCACAGTTAGTGAGTGCCTCTTGCAGTAGCTGAACAAGGTAACTCTGAGGGGTGGTGGGAGTGTAGAAGAAAGGTCTGATTTGATTTGTTACACTCCAGTTGGCATTGGTATTGCTGGGAAGAGCCTTCTCTCCTAATGTCCTCTTCCCTTTTTCTCTCTCTTTTTTTTTCCCCTTCCCCTTTTTCTAGTGTCTTCACTGTATTTTTCTTTTAAAAAACAAAAAAAAAACCAAACAAAAACTAAAAAAGACAAAAAAAGACAAAACACCACAAAAAAAAAAACTGACAGAATTTCTTTTTGCCAACGACGAGGAGTTGAGCTGTGCCCCTGCGCTGGTGTGAGCAGTTTCCGAGAGGGTCGCCTGCATCCCCCAGCGCGAGCGCCTCCGAGAAGCTGACAACGCGGGAGCCGTGCGGGAACACCTCCACTGCCCCCCCAGCCCCACCCTGGCCCTACCGCTGCCTGCGCTGGCTACCCCCAGCTCCCTCTCTTGACTCTCTGCTCCTGGTTTTGGTTTCTCTCTTTTTTTTTTTTTTCCTCCTCCTTGTTGGATATCTTCTCCTGCTTTATTTTATTTTTTTAATTTTCAAATCATATGGTTTCTAGCCATATAAATTTTAACTTTGCTCTCCTTTTTTTCTGAGGGCAGAGGATGGTGGGGGGAAGTTGGTTTTTTGTTTGGTTTTTTTTCGGTTTGTGGGTTGTTTCATTTAATTTTTTTTTTCCAGGAGCCTTGTGGGCCAGGAGGGAATCAGATTCCAGCCACGCTTGATGGTAGAAGTCTGATTTTTTTATTATTATAACAGAATTTATTTTCTCAAGCATTAAATGAATTTTAAGCTGTGAGGGGAATTGTGGCAACGGCCTAATCATTGACTCGGGCTTTCTTTCCTCGGGTGGCTTCTCTGCGTTTTTTTTTGGCTGTCGAGAGAAGTGCCAGACTTCCCTGATCCGAGTGGTCCTTACGCACGGAGGGAT